CATTCTAACAGGTGTGAGGTGATATCTCATTGTGATTTTGATGTGCATTTCCCTGATGATTAATGATGTTAATTAAACATCTTTTCATGTACCTGTCAGTCGTATGTCTTTTAAAAATGTGTATTTACATCTGCCCATTTTTAATCAGATTGTTTGTGTTTTTTGCTATTGAGTTGTGTGAGTTCTTTATATATTTTACCAGAAATATGACTTGCAAATATTTTCTCCCATTCAGTAAATAGCCTTTTCATTTTGTCGATGGTTTTCTTTGCTGCATAGAAGCTTTTTAGTGTGATGTAGTCCCACTTATTTATTTTTGCTTTTTTGCTTTTGTTTTTGGTGTGTAATCTATGGTACTGTAAATCACATCTGTGGTTGCTCCAAGGAGGGGGGGATCAACTGTAAAAGTGGCATGGGGGAACTTTCTAAGGTGATGGAAGTGTGTTCGGGTCTTGATAAGCATTTCTCAAATTTATTTGAAAGGTATGCTTAAGATCTGAGCCTTTCATCCAATTGTAAAGTGTGTCTCAATTTAAAAAACTACTCAGTAAACATAAGGTGTTCAATCCCACTGATTATCAGTGAAAGGCAAATAAAAACCTCAATGAAATGCCATTATACACCATTAGAATGACTGAAGTTTAAAAAAAAACGATAAAATCAATTTTGGTGTGAATGTATAATAACTGAAATTATTACTGCACTGCATTGTGTACACAAATTGTTCCAAATGCCTTAGAAAGCCTTTGGGGGTGCCTGGGTGGCTCAGTCGGTTGAGCGTCTGCCTTCGGCTCGGGTCTTGATCCCAGAGTCCTGGGATCGAGTCCTGCATCGGGCTCCCTGCTCGACGGGGAGTCTGCTTCTCCCTCTCCCTCTGCTGCTCCCCCTGCTTGTGCTCTCTCTCTGTCAAATAAATAAATAAAATCTTTAAAAAAAAAAAAAAGCCGTTTGGCAATAGCTAATAAAATTGAACCAGTGTATACTCTGGGACCCAGGAATCCCACTCTTCAGCATAAATGCAGCACAACTGCATGTCACGTTTGCACAAATACATGTACCAAAATGTTTATAGCAGCAGCATCCCGAGTTTGAAAGTGGAAACAACCCAAATGTCAGTTAGCAGTGAAACATTTAAATAAGCTGAGTAAGATAATAAGATAGTAGCCATTTTCAGCCTGTAATGTTAAAAGTGAAATTAATGTAGAAGGGAGAAAAAAAGACACTAAAGTAAATTTTTCCAATTAAAAAAAAATAAGTCGAGGTATATAATCAGATGAAGGAATAATATATTCCATCAAGGAAAAGGAATGAAATATTGGTATAGGCAGTAGTATGGATAATTTAGAAAAAAAATTGAGAAAGAAAATTTAGATTCTATGGAATATGTAAAGTATGATTCCATTTTTATAAAATTGAAAAGAAGACAAAGGGAATCTGTGATTTTAAAAATCAGGATAGCCTTTATATTTGGGGAAGAAGGAGAGAGAGTGAATGTGATGGGTATCAGGGATATTATGGGATGTTATAAAGCTTTATTTTTTATTTTTTATTTTTTATTTTGGAGTTGTTACAGGGTGTGTTAAGTTTGTCATAATTCATCTAGCTACACAGTTATGATTAATGTAGTTTTCTTTGTGTTATATGCTAATACAAAAATTTTTTTTAAAGATTTATTATTTGAGAGAGCGCCAGGAGGGGACAGAGGGAGAGAGAGAGAGAAAAATAACTCCAGCAGACTCCTTCCTGGGCTCAGAACCCCATGCAGGGCTCAATTTCGAGACCTGAGATCATGACCCGAGCCAAAATCAAGAGTCAGACATCTGACTCTTGATTTCAGCTGGGGTCATGATCTCAGGGTGCTAAGATCAAGTCCCAAGTCAGGCTCCATGCTTAGCATGGAGTCTGCTTATCCCTCTCCTTCCCCCATGCCTCTCCTCCAGCATGTGCTCACGCTTGCTCTCTCTCTCTCAAATACCTAAAATAAATAAGATCTTCAAAATTATTATTATTTTCTAATCATATTGACATCCTAGCATAAGAAAGAATGGTAACAGCATTATGGTTTCAAATTACTGAATACACCTGGGTTTTTCAATTTTTTGATTGTTAGTTTTATTGCAAAGAAACATTTTTTTTCATTAATAACAAAAATTCTTAATTATCTATCCTAAAAGTATGAGTTCTTGTCTAGGATTCACACTAAAGCTATTATAGTCTCAAACTGTATTTTATTGTGCATGTAGTGAGTAATTGAATGACTAACGTACTATACTACCAAAGTCCAGACATGTACTAGAGCCAGTCAGTAATCAATAGTCCACATCAAGCAGAGCATTGTGCTTAGAACATCAGAAGAATCAGGCAAACATGTTTGACAGAGCCTATGTATAACTTATATCTCTCCCCTATGTATCCTCTCCCGCCAAAAAATACTTCATGGTGACTAACATAACATAATAAAAAATATTATAATAAAAAAAAATACTTGAGTATCTCAAAGATATTTCAAGGCTTCATCAACTGTAGAATACTATTACAAGAAACATAAGGTGATGGTATAATAGGGGAGTCATGTATTCGTGTGCTAGGGCTGCCATAACTAGCTACCACAGAGTGGGCAGCTTAAACAATAGAAATGTATTTTCTCACAATTCTGAAGGCTGGAATTCCAAGATCAAGGTGTTAGCAGGTTTGGTTTTTCCTGAGGTCTCTCTCTCCTTAGTTTATAAATAGCAGGTTTCTCTCTGCCTCACATAGCCTTTTCTCTGTGCACTTGCATCTCTGATGTCTTTTCCCCCTCTTATAAGGACACCAGTCATTTGGATTAAGGCCCCACCCTAACAGCCTCATTTTAACTTAATCACCTCTTCAAAGACCTCCTCAATACAGTTACATGCTGAGGTACTAGGGGTTGGACTTCCACATAAGAATTTGGGGGCAGGAAAGCAAAGGAAACAGTCAACAAAACCAAAAGACAACCGACAGAATGGGAGAAGATATTTGCAAATGACATATCAGATAAAGGGCTAGTATCCAAAATCT